TCTTTTGAAATTAATACTCATCTTTTGTGATTCATTTTTGAAATATAAGAAGCTGTTATTTCGATCTCTCACCTAGAACACTACATTTGATTCAAGATTTTGAAGTACATGTGTGTGAGTTAAGGCCTCTGTACACGATCAGTAATACTGTCAGTATCAACGAATACTGACAATATTATTGATTGTGTGTGGTTAATATTAATGGATTGACGTAGAATACTAATGATGATTTGGACTTAAATACATGCTTTTTCCTTAAGATCCATGTCGCCATAGATAATAATATACGTCAAATCACGTCAAACTGAAGTGAAATATTATCAATAATACCTGATCGTATAAGATTATAAAAACTAATGTTGTCAGTAATACTGATTAGTAATATTGACTCAGTATTATTGACCGTGTAGGGAGGTCTTTACAGTTTTCAATCACGTGTATCTTCATAAGTAATACATTTTCAAAATATTATTCTAATTCATAATTAATATTGTGAGAAACGATTGTTCTGTTAATCAATTTCTTAATAACATTATACCAAAATACTTATTACGTTTATTAGCGTATTTGATTATCAGAACAATCACGATAATAATTATTAATTAGAATAATAATTTGTAAAACTTATGAAAATATACGTGATTGAAAACTTGTTAACTTACACTCTAAAATCTTGAATCAAATATAGTGTTCTAGGTGAGAGATCAAACTATAATAGTTTTTTATATTATTATTAAAAGATAATGAAATGGAAATGAATACGCATATAAAAAATACTATTATACATATTACCATGAAAAATGAATCATATATTATGATGGCTTAGTAGACCGTTAGTTATTGCGGTTTCCTTATTCTTCTTAATTTATAATTGTACGGTCGTAATAAGGATTCTAATATTTGTTTAATTTCGTCAGCCTGAAAATAGACGTTATTATTACTTTAGATAAATGATTGCGAAGAATATTATTACGTCGAATCGCCATTAGAGGTCTATGGATATTCGCAATGTTTCTCGCAAGTGCTGAAATACGCGCATATCTGTATATATAGAATCTCGATTTAATAACTAAAACAGGCGTCTAAGGTAGGTTTCCATTACAATGCCTTACTGATGAGTCCAGTAGTGGAAACCGGGACGAAACGCCAACTCGTGTATATTCTTCGCAATCTTATTTTTCACAGATTTTAGATTCATCGTTACTTTAACATTTACATTGTTAAATTTTAATATATGTCTTTCAACATATTATTAAAGATCTAATAAGATGCTATATAGAAGCATCAAATAATTGTTAGATGTGCTTTAGCAATTTAACTAAAAAGTGATATTACTGTAATAGTTGTTTAGTGTTGCGTTATAAGTCTGAAAAAATTTTCGGCACGTGATTGGGAACTACATACGCAGTATATAAAATTCACACATTATAATAAGCATAGTGATCTAGCTTTGACCGTAGATGGCTTAGTAGACCGTTAGTTATTGCGGTTTCCTTATTCTTGTTAATTGACTCATATATTATTGAAGGTGCCAGGTTCATCAAATTAAAACATACACCAACAGTTGCCAACTTTACGTCTGACTTGAATACCTCATTATGTATGCTAAGGTTTTTTACCATTTCATTATCTTCCAATAATAAGATGTATTACGTTAAAGTGGACAATATGGTAAAACAATTTAATAAGAATTCTTTTAAAATTAATATTGATCTTTCGTGGTTCATTTTTAAAATGTAAAAAACTGTTATTTTGATCACATAGAACACTATATTTGATTCAAGATTTTGGAGTAGGTACATAAAAATTCTTTTGAAATTAATACTGATCTTATATGTGATTCATTTTTGAAATCTAAAAAACTGTTACTTCTATCTCTCACCTAGAACACTATTTTTGATTCAAGAGTTTAGAGCACATGTGTGTGAGTTAACCAGTTTTCAATCACGTGTATCTTCATAAGTATACATTTACAAATTATTATTATAATTAATAACTAATATTGTGAGGATACATTATTACCATGAAAAATGACTCATATACTATTGAAGGTGCCAGTTCAAAGTAAACATACATAAAGTTGTTGTACCTCTCGGTGCAACAAGATATTATTTTGGGATTCGATCCGCTCAAAGGGTTGGAACCCACGAGGAAAGACGAGGATAGTAAAAGGTCGTTGAACAAACACTCACTTCACCACACTTCTATTTAAAATAACCCTTTTTATTTAACAATTTGATAGTTGATTACAAATGTTGTACCCCTTTATTTATATAATTATTTATTACTAAAGATTACAATGCTTTTTAGTAACTGTAACTCTCATTTAATTAATACAGTTGTTTAGTTAAATGAATATATTTTAAAGTTATTGACTTATGAGTGACTTATGAGTAAACCGGTCGGCGACGGTATCGCGGATGTTACTTGACTCGGTTCTCGCGACGCGCGTAACGTATCGTTACCTTTAGATTTCAAGACAAGACTCTGCGCTCGGCATTTAGGCGGTCGCTTATATTGAGTTTGATGATGTCGCTTTTGGTCTTCGATCGGACCATATATGGTAATATTCGTCGCGCTAGAGGCGCGATCGCGTGATTAAAGAATGTGCAATCTTGCACTTCCGCTGTTGGTTGCCATGCCGAGTGCATTTAGGTATTTCGCGCGCTATGATCTTAGATCGACGCTTTGTCGCGCGCGGTTTAAAGAATGTGCAGATTTGCATTTCCGGTGCCGGTTGCTATGCCGGTTGAAAAGAAATAATTAATAAAATAAGTGATAGCCATTCGGGCTATAACAAAGTGTATATTAAAAAACAGACACACGGCATAAACAAACAAAATGACACAGAGTCTTTGCCCGATATGTACACCAATATGATACATTCTCTTTCTTCTTCTTGAATTTGTCTATCCTTGTTTTCCTCTTTTTCCTTCTTTGACTTTCTATCCTAACGGCATTATTCCAATTGTCATCACAAAGATCAGCACTCTTTTCTCATAGCTGCAGAGTATCTTATTCAATTTTGATTATCATTTGTATTGTGACACAGAAGAATTTTATTCATGGATATTTTAATTCTTTTTCTACCAATTTTGACAAGGTACATAAATTCATATACTTTTAAAATAATTTTTATGACTCCGTTAAGTTTTATTTTGTATTTTTATTAGGATCTTTTTTACTCTTATGACATCAGTTTTCTACATCTTTTGTACCTTAATTATGCAGTTTGGATGAAGATTGTAATTTTTGTATTATTTAACCGAAGAATGTCTTATATTTATTGTACTTTTTTAATTATATTTAAATTTTACTTTTATACATTGAAAATGACCCGATCGGAGTCGAAACGTCTGGAAATTTTATATGTATATAGTTTGTTTTTTTAAATTATACGTACGTTAAACATATTTGGCTCTTTGCCCTTTTTCTTATTTATATTGTTTTATACATGTTGAGCCTTTTCATTACTTATTTTTGTAAACATATACTTATGAAGATATACGTGATTGAAAACTAGTTAACTTACACTCCAAAATCTTGAATCAAATATAGTGTTCTAGGTGAGAGATTAAACTATATATATATATATACATATATGTATATATCTTAAAAAAACCTTTTTTTAAAAAAGAAAAAACATACGCCAAGTGCATAAAAATATATTGAACTTCTTGATCAAAAACAGATATGAAATAAATATAATTGACCAAGTGTATTCTTCATTACGCCAGTCACATAAGACAGACCGAAAGTGTTTATAATTGTCAACTGGATTATAGTGAAGAAAAAACTTGACGTGCCCGGGTCGCATTAATTGTAAACAGTATGCAGTGAAAACATTATTTCAACATAGTATTTGCATTATAAATTAAAATAACAGACATATGTATACAGATATAATATCATATATACGTATAACATAGTGATATAATTTGTAAAACATGAAAATATATTCACAAATAATAGATGTGATGTAAATTATGGACAAATATAATGTTTAGATATATATTTTAGAAACATTATAAATTATAAATAACAATTTTTTATGTTCAGTAAGCAATTATTAACATCTTTTCTTTGTTGAATTATTGTTTTCGCATATATAGTGTATACTGCAGAATATTGCGATAGAACCAAGATTCTAGAATATTGCGACCCTGGCACGCCAAGTTTTTTCTTCACTATAATCCAGTTGACAATTATAGTCACTTTCGGTCTGTCTTATGTGACTGGCGTAATGAAGAATACACTTGGTCAATTATATTCATCTCATATCTGTTTTTGATCAAGAAGTTCAATATATTTTTATGCACTTGGCGTATGCTTTTTCTTTTTTTAAAAAAAGGTTTTTTTAAGAGATTTCACCGCTTTTTGTAAATTTTGAAAACATGATAATAATGTAGGAAATTTAAATCCTCTAAAAATAAATGCAGATTCTATTTCTAAAATAGTTATCGGGACTCGGTCTCTAGATCTCGGTATCGGCTGCACCAATTTTATTCGAACTGGTCGCGATCGAAAGATACCGATGACATTATGTAATAAAAGTGTTTTTAGATTTTTGATTGGGCTTTTAAATTCTGAGTAATTTTAATCTAAAGTTTGAAGATGTGAAAACTCGTGATAAAGCTAGTAGTAGCGTCGTGAATTTGACAGCGACATGAACATATACACGCATCAATCAAGTCAAGCGATCATGCCAAGCAGTCAAACGGTTATATTTTTACTTTATACACTTGGCGTCGTGACGCTACCGCGTCGCTTGATATTGTGACATGACATTTTGTCAATCACTCGGAAAAGCAGCATAATGCGAGATCCTGGATCCTTCATTGTCAACAGGCGAGCGCACAAGTGAATGTGCGACATTATTATTTATTTTTATTTCCTTTTTGCAATTATTGTATTACTTATTTTTTTATTCTCTTTTTGCGATTATTGTATTATTTTTCTTTTTTCCATCTTGTCGCTATTTGGTTAAGTTTTAGTTAATATTAAGACGATCCTGAGCTCGGATTTTGCCGGTAATTCACGATCAGAGCCGGTGGCTGCGCTGTATTCTTGTGTTCGGTTGTCTCACCTACCGCTAGAAGAGAGAAGAGGTCGCCTCCTACGAGGAAGAGATTGCTGTATGAAGAATTTGGCTGAAGTCACGAGAAGCGCGGTACACGCAGGTCGTATTATTTCATATTTGTTACTAATGTCGCTATTATTTGGTGTATTATCGCACCCTTATTGCAGACGCCTCGGAGAGAGACGTCAACCGGGAACGGACTCACAGGCAGGACCTCCGCCGAAGCGCCGTATCCCACAACGATCATTGGAAGATCGCCGAACGACCAGAAAGCATTTTCCGCTTTTTTGATTCCCTGTAAAAGACAAAAGTTTTGAAACTTTTCTGAGGTGAATTGAGTTCCATTATCTGACACTAGACTTTCAGGAACACCGAATCTTGCAAAAATTTCTTGAAGGATTTCGATAGTTTGCTGAGCTGTGATTGTTTGTGTTGGAACTATCTCAGGCCATTTTGAAAAGGCATCGACCAAAACAAAATAATATTCTCCATTTAACGGTCCTGCGAAATCTATGTGAACTCTTTGCCATGGTTTTTCAGGAAGAGACCAGCTTGATAATAGTACCTTGATAGGTGATTTCGCGGCGAGTGCGCAATTTCTGCAATTTCTGATAAATTCTTCTATTTGCTGATCTATCCTTGGCTAATATACGTACGAACGTGCTATGATTTTCATTCGCTCCATTCCAGGATGACCCTTATGAATTTGTTTGAGAATTTGTTGATGGAATTGTTGAGGAATTACAACTCTGTCGTTGAAAAGAAGACATTCTTGAATCACGGTTAGTGAGTTTCGACGGCGGAAAAATGGTTGTAAATCCGAATCATCTACTTTCTGCGGCCATGAATTCAAAGTAAAGTTGATAACTTTTTGTAAGATGTCATCTTCTTTAGTTGCTTCCTTGATTTGTTGAAATGTGATTGGAAAGGACTGAAGTGATTCATTTAGGACTGAGAATAAATCTGTTTCCATTTTGACAAAAGCGATTACAAAATCCTCTTCAGGACGTTGTTAATGACTGATTAGTCTTGATAAAACATCCGCGTGTCCAAATTCTGTCGTCTTGATATATTCTATCTTAAAATCGTAAGATAATAATTGAAGTGCCCATCGCTGAAAACGGTTGGCTGTATGCGACGGAATTCCTTTTTTGTTACCAAATATTTGAAGTAATGGTTTGTGATTCGTTTGAAGTATGAATTGTCTTCCGAAAATCATTCTATGAAATTTCGTGACTGCAAAAATGATTGCTAATGCCTCTTTTTCAATTTGACTGTATTTACGTTCTGCTTCTGTGAGACTCCTTGAGGCGAGACTGATTGCCTTGATCGAATGATCTGGAAATCTATGAAGAATGCATGCTCCTAATCCTTCATTTGAAGCATCTGCTGCTACAATAATGTCATTTTGAGGATTGTAGTGAGTTAATAAGAGCTTTGAAGAAAGAATTCTCTTAAACTGATTAAAAGATTATTGACATTTTGAAGACCAGTTCCATTTAGAATCCTTTTTTAAAAGATTATCCAAAGGACGTCTAAGAATGTGCATATTTGAAATGAAACATGCATAATAATTGATTGCTCCTAAAAACGAACGTAATGTGGTTAAATTATGTGGTTCAGGCATGTTTTTAATTGCTTCGACTTTTGTAGGATCTGGATGTAACCCTTGTCCATCGATGACATAACTCAGATAATTGATCTGTGTAGTAAAGAAACAACATTTCTCTATTTGCAGATGTAGACCACAATCCTTTATTCGCTCTAATAAATAAGTTAGGTTTTGATTATGCTCTTGAACTGTAGCTCCACCCACAACAATATCATCAATATAAACAAAAACGTTTTCTAGTCCAGATATCATTGAATCGATGATTGATTGAAATTCACCTGGAGCTGTGGTGACTCCGAAAGGTAAACGATTATAAACGTATAAACCTCTGTGAGTATTGATTGTTAGAAGATGCTTTGATTGTTCATCTATTTCAATTTGAAGAAATGCGTCTGACAAATCTAACTGGCTGAAATACTTACAGTTTAACAGTTGCGAAAATATTTCATCTGGTAATGGGAGTGGATAACGATTAGGTTCTAATGATTCGTTAAGTCCAGTTGAGAAATCCGGACAGATCCTAATGTTTCCATTTTTTTTTCTTAATACAACTATTGGAGTTACCCAGTTTGAATACTTGATTGGTGAAATGATTCCATTTTGTTCCAGTCTTGTAAACTCTGCGCCGACTAGAGGTAAAATTGCGTAAGCAACCGGTCTCTTAGGTCTGAAAATAGGTTTTGAATTATTTTTTAAATTCAGTTTGACTTTAGTTTTCGTGCAGCGACCTAATTGAGAGGAAAATACCTCTTTAAAATTTTCTTTAATGAAGGATATATCAAAGTGCGTCGAATCTGCTTGAGAATGGATCTTGGAACAGAAGCTATTGAGACTGCATTGCCATAAATCAAAAGCTGCGATCCAATCGAGACCCATGATGTTGAGATCCGAATTTGCTGTTACGAAACATCGTAGTTGTTTGATAACTCCGTTCAAGGTTACTTCACAATTAATTTCTTGATTTAAATTGATCTGATTTCCCTACGCGTCACGTGCGACATGAGACGTTGAACAACCTTTAGGCTTTCCCAACAAAGACCAAATCTTTTCTGATATAATGGTAATATCTGATCCCGTATCAAGTTGCAGTTTAATTGGTTGATTATTTATCGAAATATTCACAAATTTGCGAGTAAGATTTGAATTAACTTGATTGACCTTAATCGTCTTGACGTTTTGATTTGCCGTTTCGTTATTTGTTTTCGTTTTGACTCTCTGAGTTGAAGCGCAATATCCGTCTTTGTGACCGACAGTATTACATTTTTGACATTTATGATTTTTGAAAGTACAAAACTTAGAATAATGTAATTGTCCGCAAAACCAACACGGTGTTGAAGGCATTGAATCTTTGTTAGGTAAAGAATTTTTTATTTGTTTCTTACTTTTGTCGATTCTTTGATTTATTCGTGTTTTTCACCTGTGGTTTGCGTTGTTAATCGGTTTTGACTATCGCCACTGCTTTTGACTCAGACGATCCCTGGTTTTGTATCAAGGATATGTCCTGTTTGAGATTTGTGAGTCGCTGACATTCCATTGCGAGATCATCAATTGTACCTGACCTTGTATCAATTAAATTGAGAAGTTTAGTTCGAATATCGGCTTCAGTAAGCGATTTTAAACCGCATGCAAAAATAAGACATTTGATCGGCAGTAATTGTAGTAAATTTTGATTCTTCGCAACGTTTATTGACTAGCGCTGTATAAGAAATGAAATCTTGATTTGCTGATTTCGTTGTATTCATACAATTATAACGCTGGTGAAAGAGGAAAATTTTTTTTTCCGAATAACCGTGTGAGTTTGTTTACTGTAGTTTCGAAATCAAAGTTTTTATATTCTTTCGGCAGTATGTAATTAACGTACTGTTTATGTGAAATTGTATTCATTTTACATAATAAAAGTCTGACCTTGGATTCGTCGTCTAATTCCCGCGCGTCGACTTGGAATAGACTTTGATAGCATACATACCGTGCATCGAAAGTAAAATTATTTTCTGGATCGTAAATGAATTCAGACATGGAATTTTCCAGTGATTCCATTTTTGTATCTCTCCTTGAAGAATCCGTTGAATTCGCCCACATCGATGACATGTGATTCATAAAATCTTGTTGCTGCTTTATTTGCTGCTGCATGAGTGCTTGCTGCTGCTGCTGCTGCTGCTGCTGCTGCTGCCGCTGCTGCTGCTGCTGCTGCTGCTGCTGCTGCTGCCGCTGCTGCTGCTGCTGCTGCTGCTGCTGCTGCTGCTGCATTAGTGACATGAGTACTTCTTTGAACTCCATAATCCTCGTCGCCAATTGTTGTGTTTGTCACTAATCGTTCTTTAATTCGTAGTTTTAATGAGAAGTATGCGCTAATTAGAATATGCCAGTATACCGATATACGAGTGCTAATACAAAGAGTGTGTCTATTGACTGTCTATACACAACTGCCTGGTGTCGACCTTCTGCCGGTCGACAACCAGATCGTTACCGAGCCGCGCATGTGTGTCGCTTATTATATAGGCGTAGGTAACAATATATGTATATATAACAGTTTTTTACATTTTAAAAATAAATGCTTTTTGCTGTTGTTAGTGCGATCATATATAAGATATGTTAAAGTGTGAATATTATATACTACGTAAGTAATATATAATATGAACGTATGAGAAGACGCATTAATAATATTGTTTACTTGCAAAATAAAACAGTGGTCTCTATATCACATATACTTATAGTTAAGATTCTTCAATCCAATCATATGAAATGCATTTTATTAGGTACACGTCTTCACTTATTAATAAATGATACTATTTGTAAAAATCGTTCAATCAATGTCTCTTCTAACATTTTCTGTAGTATCATGGAAATGACTTCTGAATGTGTGGTTATTTTTCCCGAAATGATACAATGCAAATGCGTTGTAATGCCATACGATAGCAAACTATGCGTATATCCTCTAGTTAATTCTTTTGAAAGAGACTAACACAGGTAATATATAACAGATAAAATTTTTCAACAAATAATATTTCAAGTATAATAACAGTTAAAAATAAGAGTATAACGAAAGTAAAATTTTATTTTTATTATATTTATCTTCGATATCTGAATTTATATATAGTACATATGTACTTCTGTCTTAATATTCTTCAATTCTGAATATGTTTGTTACTACATAATGTATTGTTTTAGCCCAAGAGAAATACATTTTACAAATCCAATAAAAAATATATATATAAGTAAAGCTATAGGACATTTTATGTTTCCATAAAAATTAATCCCGTCCTTTAATTCAATCTTTAATCCATATATTGTATTATAAAATTGATTATTCAGCTTTAAATTATTGATTACATATTTAATTATTTAATTATTATTTTATATTATATATTAGGTTTTTATTTTTATATATTATAGTTTATACATTTATTATCTCAAAAAATTGTACTATAAATATACTGTAGAGATAGGTTATAATATATTCAAAAATTTAGGAGGTACAAAAATAGGTAAAAAATATATAAGTTTAGTATTTCAGTATTTACCCCAATAGTTGGATATCATTTTCGCCAGTACTTAAGTACTGCAACAGTACTAAAACAAGAAATAAATTACTAGGGAAACTACTTACTTATCCTATTAGTATTTCATACCAGAATTTAACTACTGTATCACACAGTACTTCAGTATTTTACTATTACATAAGCAAGTATTGAAATACTCAGTACTTCAAATCTCAGAACGAATTACTAAAATTATTCATAGATCAGTAATTGAACTACTAGAGTACAAGAATGAAGTACTAACTGCCAGTAATAAATTTCAATATTTCAGTAATAAATTACTAACCAACCAGTAATACTTTTCTATAAGGGTTTGTTTACTAATTTCCAAGTTTCATTCTTAATTATACAATCTATTTCTTGATTCATTGCTATTTCCCAATTTTTAATGTCATCGCTATTTATCGTCTGCTCAAATGTATAAGGCGTGTCTACCCTACAATAATTTACAGAAATATTATTTGAACTATTTTCTGGATATCTTATTGGACTTTTCCTATCGCGTGTAGATCTGCGAGGAATTTTTGAACTTACATTTTCTTTATCAATTTTAACTTCATCGTCTTCGTCCGTGCTTTCAAAAACGCTATCATTTAAATTGTTTTCGTGATCACTATCTTCTCCTCTACTTAACTCGAGAGTCGAAGTAGAAGGAAATAAATAAGCGGGTTCATCTTCATCAAGGTTAATATACTTTATGTTTTTTTCGACAATATCCACGTGTCGCGTAACTATTATTCGGTTATTTACCAGCACTCTATAGCCAACATCACTATAGCCTAACAGAATCCCCATATCTGCTTTCTTATCCCATTTAGAAAATCTTTTCTGTTCTGGTTTTCTAACAAAGACTTTACTCCCGTACAATTTTAAATGACTAACGTTCGGTCCTTTTCTAAAAAATATTTCATACGGCGTTTTCTTTTCAATCGTGTTTGCTAATGAGCAATTTTTTAAATACGTCGAAGCACGTAATTATTTCTGGCCAATATTCTTTATATACTTGTGCCTCATCTAATAGGCAACGCGCCATATCCATTATTGTTCTATAAAACCGTTCCGCAGTACCGTTTAATTCATGCACGTACACTGGACAATTATTTATAAAAATACCTTTATTTTTTGCATATTTGTAAAAACGATTGTTTAAGTATTCTTTACCATTATCACATCTTATTTTCTTTACTCGCTTTTCAGTTAAATTTTCTACTTCATTTATATAATTTACCATAGAGTCAAATACTTCGTCCTTGGACTTTATACAGTAAACTTTAGCTATCTTACTATAATCAACAATAAAAGAAATATCTTTCACCGTTTGGACCAGCGGTTTTAAAGCTGCCGCATACATCCGTATGTATAATTTCTAAAATATCGTTTGCCTTTGATCTATTATTTTGAAACGGTAAATTATGCATTTTATTTTCTATACAAGTTTTACACTTCATAAATTCGGTTTCAAGTTTATCCGGTATGCCCTCTAGCAATTGTTGTGAACATAATATATTTAAATAGCCCAAGTTTACATGACCTAAGATTCTATGCCATCTTTCCTTTTGAGTTATCTTATTATTATTATTATTTCGCTCGGTATTTGTTAGAAAGATGCGTATTCAAGACGCTCATTCATTGGATAACAGGAACCAATGAACGTATACACTTTAGTCGTGTACTTAATGCACTCTTTATTTTTATTTGTCCAGTAGTTGGTAGTGCTGAGCTGGCGTCTCTTTCGTTTGTTGTTCACTGGTCTGCCTTTTTCGGCTAATATATATTTCGGTCGCTTCTTACGATAGTTTCCTTTTTGTATCGCTACGGGTGTGTAAATACATGCGTTAATCTAATCAGTATCTTCGAGTACATTCATTAATCCATTCCAACAGTATTATATACCCAAGTTTTATTACATTCTACTTTACTTTTCATTTTAAGTACTTGATTTTCTTTGTAAGCTACAGCAATAATTTTTCCTTTTTTGTCAATTATTTTTACAGTATTTTCTTTAGCAACAATCATATTCTCATCTATTAATTTTCCAAAACTTATCAAATTAGCATTCATTTCTTTAGCATAAAATACATTACTTATATTTACTTTATTATTTGTTCCAAAAGCATTAAAATAGCTTACTACATTTCCGATTTTAGTTGCCTTAATATGTCTATTATCGCCCAAATAAATGTTAACCGGTTTTTCAAGTACAATCGATTTCTCAAAATATCTATCATCGTTCACTATGTGATCAGTACACCCGCTATCGAGTAACCATTCTATTTCAGAATTACGTAACCTATCACCGTCGTCGCTGGTGTACATCGTGTGCGCCGTTGCTATCCAGGCGCTGATTCTTGAGCTGTTCTGCTCGTGTGTAGTGCTTGTCCCAGGCTGCTGGCGGTAGTTCCCGCGCCCTCTATTGAAGTTGCCTCTTCTTCCTCTTCTGTTGCTGCGACCACGTGTTGAGCCTCGCCATGTTCCACCGCTTTGTGCTGTTTGGCCGCCATCATGGCACTCTCTTGCGAAATGCCCGGTTTTGCCACATTTGTAACAATTTCCTTTCGTTGTTACAAAAGCATTCGATCTTCTTCCTGGATGATTGTTTTGATTCTTAATTTCAGCCATTTTTATTTTATTTTTTACATAGTCTGCTGTCTGATCTTCAACTTTTAACGTATCAATTAAATCGCCAATATAACTGTATGATTCTGGCAATGTGTTAAGCATATAATTTAGCTTTTCTTTCTCACTTATTTGAGCACCTGCAGCTTTTAACTCATTCACGGATTTTTCAAAATCATTGAAAAAAGACGCCGTTTCACTATAATTATTCAGTCTCATTTTTTGCAATCTGTTTCTGCACACAATTTGTAGCGCTGTGAATTCTTTCAAATACATGCCGTCTAATTTCCTCATTATTCCATAAGCTGTTGTTTCTTGCATACAAACTCTAGCTGCTTATTTGAAATGGAGCTATATATTATATTTATAGCTTTTAAATCATGTTCATCCCATATGGGTTCATCTGTAGTGGCCTTTTCTCTCGTTAGCACTATATCACATTTTTTCATTTTCATAAACATTGTTATCCGTTTCTTCCACATAGCATAGTCCTCTCCATCAAACACAGGTATCAAAAACTCCTTTTTCTCCATTTTGTCTTGTTTTTCTTCTAGTTGTCCTTTTTCAGCATACACAAAATTTAATACACTCAAAAACTTTTCCGTAACTTCCGCAAACCTTCTCAGTATCTTGGCTTTCTTAATTTCTTCGGTTTTATCTTCTTTTTGTTCACACTCGCTCATTTATATACTTTAGAAAACTTAGCTTCACTCTCAGTCGATTTGTGTCCACGTGTCCAGATCACTATGCATTTGCATGCGGTTTGGCGACATTGGAACCACGCTCTGCTACCATGTTAATATAATGCGGTTTTAGCAAGATGTGTAGTCGGCGACGACTCATTTCTATCTGCTAACGCTCAGTCGGCCGTTTCGGCAACTCTGGCGATCGCGTGATACTCACACATATATGCTACAAGAGGGGTGACTTACATGTATGTGTTCCCTTCATACACTCGTTCATGCTCTCACTTATTCTACGCGCGACTCATTGTTTTGCTTTCCTTTAATGTGAATACAGTCAAATGTATAATATATTTCAACAATTTCGTTACAAAATTTGTACGTAACCTATCGAAAATTTTTAATGTATTTGGCAGGCCGACCGAGTATCCGGAGACGTCCGATTATATCCGACTGAACACGAGTGACCAATATCGTGATTGGCTGTTTGCAAATGCATACCAGCCCCCTCCAAATAAAATCACAGATTTTTCAACCTATATCCTATCTAGTGTATAATAGAGATCAGTGGTGACGTCATTTTCCTCCCCGCCATCCCTCTGCGCCGTCACCCTTCCCCTCCCGTGACATCATACTCCTCTCACCCTGTGACGTCATCACCCTCCCCGTTACGTCATCCCCCTCCCCTGTTGTGACGTTATACCCCTTCCCTCCCGTGACGTCATATCCCCTCGCCCTGTGACGTCATTCCCTCCCCGTGGCGCCGTACCCCCCTCACCCGCAACCGTGACGTCATCCCCCTCCCCTGCCGTGACGTAGA